TCGACAGTTAATGTAGGGTTTTTGAAGATTACACTGGATGTGGTTGAAACTATTGAGGTATGGAATGCACAAGCTATTGCATATTTTTTTTTATATATGATATGACTCCTTACTTTTGAACCTTTATTCGTGTTTGGTTCTTGTATATTAAGACTTGGGTATCAAGAATTCGCTGGCTTCGTAAACTTCTCCCTTAGGCGTTTAAAATAGGCCAGCAGTTGACTTGGATCAGGATAATTTCCTTTGATCCCAGGAACTTCCTTGAAATTTTTAATCCATGCGTGCAAGCGTGGGAAGCTATCGACGTCCAGCACTTTTACACCAGCCGTTTCTTCCATGACCTCAAACCAGAATGCAATCCATCCAAAAGATAAGTCTGTCATTCCGATCTCATTTCCGTCAAAAAACTTCTTCTCACCAAGGCCATGCTCTTCTAAGATTCTCAGATGTTCTTGGGCATCTTTTACTGCTCTTGCTAGCTCTTCGCCAACAGATTTGTAGAATCTAATAAAGTTTTGCTTCTGAATTACACAAAAGAAAACTAGTCAGTGAAGACATCGTATTATGTCAAAGGGGGGTAGAGTCCGCGGGGGGCGGGTAGGATTACCTTGTCGTCTCCAAACTTCGTCCAAAACCGAGCCACGGCCCTTGCGTGAGGGTCATTTGGCAGTAGAGCGTTCTGCGGCCATGTCTCGTCGATGTACTCGAGAATAATCATGGACTCTGCAATAGTTTTTCCTCCATGGACAAACACCGGAACCTTCTTATGCACCGGGTTATGGCGAAGAAGCAAATCAGTCTTGTTAAAAATGTCCTCTTCCAGATACTCATATTTGATACCCTTGAGATTCAGAGCCCATATAACCCTGTAAACATATGGACTTGTCCAGAATCCTATTACCTTCACTTCCTCCATATTCTTCTTGCTTGTGGTTGTCTTCTTACTCTGGTCTGGAGGATGCAATATATTGCTGGTTGGATGCAGTTCAAACTTGCGTGGGCTCCAAGCAGTTTGTAAAGGAGGTTACATGGAGATTACGAATTGTAATGCCGTCTTATTTGACCATAAGTAATAACCTACCACTTTGTCTTAGTCTTGTTGGTTCATGTATCTGAGATAGACAGATATATATAATTTAATTTAATTCTAACAACTCTAATTTCTTTTCCGCACAAATCAAAAGTCCAGATTTTTAGATCCTTAAGCTCCAGACACTAGTGGATCCAATGTTGGAAATTCATGCTCTCGGAGTTATACGTGGCAGAGAAACGTTGGTGGTCTTGGGGAACACTCAAATTACTTTGAAAAGTCATCTCATTTGGTCAGAAGGCCAAGAATAAATAATTAACTTCTTGTTAAATTCTCAAGGAAATTTCAAAGCATTGTGTATTCATAGAACCATAACACATATGGGGCCAAAGGCTTGAAGAATTAAGAACACAAATTCAACAAAGAAAATGGAAAAAGTGAAACTGCTGTTCGGAACTTGGCCTAGTCCATATCAATAATTGTAAGAGTGACAAAGATAAGGATCCAAGTGAAGAACATATCAAGAGCACAGATGTAATCCAGGTGGTTAGCTTACATTGCAAGATTAAAAAACCGTTAAAACAGTATAAGTGTACACTGTAAAATATTACTTGATCATTAAGGAAAATACGAGTTTTTTTCTCTCATACACTCTCGAGCTCTCTCTGTTTTCTGCAGAATTCTTTCTTCATCTTCATCAATATTTCTTCAATCTTTACAATAATAAGCCTTGAACGAGTGAATCTAAAGACAAAATAATAACCTAACATTCCATCTCTAAACTCCCCAACTGTTAAATCCCTGAGGGGAAAAATAAAAACTCAAATAAAAACAATAAAAGTTTACGTGTTGATCAGTTGGATGCTTTCCTCTTGTAACATGCATGTGTAGACAAATGAAAGATAAATCACATTTTCACATGAAAACACCTTATCATGCATAAACTAATTGGGCCAAATAACACAATTACACCAAGAGTTCTACCAGCGTATAGTTGTTAACAAAATTAAACACATAGCAGGAAACCGAAATGCTTAATTAGCAAGGTAATACAACGAATGTGCAACATATATTAATTAGCTTTGAGCTCTAACCTCTCGTGGCCGCAGTTCTAACGGAAACAAAATTAAATTGGGCATGTGTTCAAGTGCTCCCATCGATAAAGGCCTTCTATTGATATCAGCTATTTGAAGAAAATTCCACCAAGGTCAGTAAAGTTTCAAATCCTTGTCATGCAACAAAAATATTTGTTTCTTCTTTTGCCTCCTCCAAAAGTCGAACGGCCTTCTATTGATATTGTCCGCTTTGGGCCCCGACCACGTCCTCACGGTTTTGTTTCTGAGAACTCATGAGCAACTTCCCAGTGGGTCACCCATCATGGGAGTGCTCTGGCCACCTTCTCGCTTAACTTCGGAGTTCCGACGGAATCTGAAACCAGTGAGCTCTAAAAAAACCTCGTGCTAGGTAGGGATAGGAATATACATTTAAGGATCACTCCCCTGGGCGATGTGGGATGTTACAATCCACCCCCCTCAGGGGCCCGATGTCCTCGTCGGCACACCACGGCCAGGGTTAGGCTCTGATACCAATTTGTCACATTCCGGCCCGGGGCAGATCACTTCCCGGGCTCGCTCCATCACCGTAGCACAATATTGTCCGCTTTGGGCCCCGACCACGCCCTCACGATTTTGTTTCTGGGAACTTATGAGCAACTTCCCAATGAGTCACCCATCATGGGAGTGCTCTGGCCACCTTCTCGCTTAACTTCAAAGTTTCGACGGAATCCGAAGCCAGTGAGCTCCCAAAAGGCCTTGTGCTAGGTAGGGATGAGAATATACATTTAAGGATCACTCCCCTTAGGGGGGTGGATTGTAGCATCCCACATCGCCCAAGGGAGTAATCCTTAAATGTATATTCCCATCCCTACCTAACACGAGGCATTTTGGGAGCTCATTGGCTTCGGGTTCCATCGAAACTCCGAAGTTAAGCGAGTAGCGCGCGAGAGTAATCCCATGATGGGTGACCCACTAGGAAGTTCTTGTGTGAGTTCCCATTAACAAAACCGTGAGGGCGTGGTTGGGGTCCAAAGCGGACAATATCGTGTTATGGTGGTGGACTCGGGTCGGGATGTGACAAATGGTATCAGAGCCTAACCCTGGCTGTGGTGTGCCGACGAGGAAGTCGGGCCCCTAAAGGGGTGGATTGTAACATCCCACATCGCCCAGGGGAGTGATCCTTAAATGTATATTCCCATCTCTACCTAGCATGAGGCTTTTTGGGAGCTCATTGGCTTCGGGTTCCATCGGAACTCCGAAGTTAAGCGAGTAGCGCACGAGAGTAATCCCATGATGGGTGACCCACTGGGAAGTTCTTGTGTGAGTTTCCATTAACAAAATTGTGAGGGCGTGATTGGGGCCCAAAGCGGACAATATCGTGCTACGGTGGTGGACCCGGGCTGGGATGTGACAAATGGTATCAAAGCCTAACCCTGACCGTGGTGTGCCGACGAGGATGTCGGGCCCCTAAGGGGGATGGATTGTAACATCCCACATCGCCCAGGGGAGTGATCCTTAAATGTATATTCCCATCCCTACCTAGCACGAGGCCTTTTGGGAGCTCATTGCCACTCCGAAGTTAAGCGAGTAGCGCGCGAGAGCAATCCCATGATGGGTGAGCGACTGAGAAGTTCTCGTGTGAGTTCCCATTAACAAAACCGTGAGGACGTGGTCGGGGTCCAAAACAGATAATATCGTGCTACGGTGGTGGACCTGGGCCGGGATGTGACATTATCGTATGTAGTTTGGCGTTAGCTTTTTGCTATTTAATTTTAAGGGTTGAGTGTTAACCAAAAGGTGAATTGCTGAATCCTTTTTCTCGTCTCCAAACTCCCCTTCATTTTCTCTTTTCAGACACTGAATCTCATCCTCCAAGGCTACTAAAAAAGCTAAAGACTAAAGAAAACTCATCGAACTCTCTTTTTCACTTTATTTTGTTACTGACCAATTGCTGGAATAGAAACGACACTTCTTGGGGTTCTTTAACAGTTTGGAGATCTCTTGAGTCAATGCTATAAAATTGTGATATTTGGTTACAAAGATAACCAATGTTTGGGGCAGTTTTAGAGAAGACATGTGGGCTATTCTCATTTGGCCACATTATGAAGTCATTGTCCAAAAAATAAAAGATCAATGTGACAAGAAACTTCAGAAACACAGGCAAATACGTAGGGAGCATCTCCGACAACTTTAAGTAATCAAGGGGAATATTGACTCTTCTCACATAAAATAAAATGGAGAGTGATGTTATCTATACACCTATTTTTATTTTTCACATACATATTTTCAAACTTCAGCATTTGAATCTTAAATTAAAGAAGATCAAATGATAGAGATTAAAAAGATGTGTACAATATATAAAAAAAAAAAGATGTGTGGATATCATTATCCAAAATATATATCATATTTGGATGATTGTTCAATGGTCAACAACACACAATTCAAGGTGCATCTGTACGTCAGCAATGATGTCACAAAAGAATTCAAGAACAGTGATCATGCAAATTAAGTTTTTATTAATGGGTTCTATTACCAATAATTAAAGATGATATATGATATTTTTATGGGAGGCTATTACCCTTTTGTTTTCTAACGCTGACCGCATTCATATATTTTCTCACCTATATGATGTTAATAAAAGCTCTATAATACTGCCACCTAAAAATAAAGAAAACCATGCATATTGTACATTTCAAAGAAGTGTGTTATAGATAATCGATCACTTCGTAGTTTGGTGTGTGATATCTAGTTATCAATCGTTGTGGGGGTTTTATAATGCATTAAAATAGTCAATAATCGGGGATGATTGAAAGTAGCAAAATTATATGTTATGCATGACTGAAAGTAGCAAAATCGTATGTTATTATCACTAGTACATAAGATTTTAAAAGTAACAGTGCATATGTTTATCTTAGTCGTCAAAATGTGTGCAATTTCCACTTTAATTGACTTTTCAAAGTCAATTAGAGAAAAAGAGAAAAGTACACTTCATTATCCATTAGTAGTTTAACAATATTCCTGACCTCTTCTTTGGAATTAAATTTTATTATATGACCAGACGTCTCTCCCTAGCACGAGAAAAAAAAGAGTAGGAATATGGAGACCTTTAACTCCAGTAGGCCATGGGAGTGTATATTTTCTGGAAATTGGACAGTCCAACTAATACAACATGACAAGTAACAAAGAAGTGACACCAGCTAGCACTAGCTACTTAGCTAGTATATATTATTCATGATTGTGCTGAAGCAACAACTGTTGCCCTTCCGCCTTTGAAATAGTTCAACAATGCACTGCGCTCAGGTAGGTTTTCTTTGATTGTTGGGGATTCCTTGAAACTTTGAATCCATGCATGCAAGCGAGGAAAGCTATCTCCTTCAAATACTTTAACACTGGCTGCTTCCTCCAAGACTTCCAGCCACAAAGCCATCCAACCAAATGCTAAATCAGCCAATCCAATATCGTTGCCGCCGAAGAACTTCTTGTTTCCCAGGCCATGCTCCTCCAAGATTTTAAGATTTTCCTGCGCTTCTTTTATTGCTTTCACTTGTTCTTCCCCAGTAGCAAAAAAGAGCCCAATAAAAGCTCGGTTCTATGTTGGACAAAACATTTGGGTCAGTTTGTGTTTAAAATGTTGCGTAGCCAGACAGTCTAATACGTAACTTGGTAAACCATTAATCTCAATAACCTATTTAAATAATAATAACTCATATGCTCAATCACATGGATACCATAACATGCTAAACTAATGTCGAGAGCGATTACCTTGTCCTCTCCGAACTTGGCCCAAAACCGAGCCTCGGCTCTTTGGTGTGGGTCTTTCGGAAGCAAGGGGTTGTGTGGCCATGCCTCTTCAATGTACTCAAGAATGATAATGGACTCAGCAGTTGGTTTCCCATCATGAACAAGAACAGGTACCTTCTTGTGCACTGGGTTGTACTTTAGAAGTTCATCACTCTTGTTGAATAACACATACTCCTCTACATACTCATACTCCACACCCTTGAGCTTTAGTGCCCATATAACCCTATAGACATATGGACTAGACCAGGCTCCTAGTAGTTTCACTCCTGCCATTTTTGTGTTGTGATACCTGATTTGTTATGCTGGGTTTCTAGATCTATTTATACCCCCACAATTAGATCGGCTGCTTGTGCTTCAAGTTCATGGTTTTGGAAATTTAGGGAGGAATTGGCTTCTTTCACATAAAATATTATTGGAAGGTGCATGTGGACGCGAGTGATTTCACTTCTGCCATTTTTGTTATTTTTGTGTTGTGATTCCCTGATTGGTATGCAGGGTTTTTAAGTTTATTTATACCCAACAATCAATTTGGCTGCTTGTGCTTCAAGTACATGGGTTTGGGAATTTAGAGGGGAATTGGCTTATTTCATGTAAATTTTTTTTCACTGGGACATAGCACTTGGTATTACGAAAAATAAATAATTGAGATTGAAAATAAAAAGTTTAACAATTTTGAAAATTAAAATTGAGGACGCACCATAAAATATAATATAATATTCTTAGCTAGCTTAGTCAAGAGTAGATAAGTAACTCACTAGAAGCATAAATGGGGTGCATGTGTACGTTAGCGATGATGTCACACAATAAATCATATATGTATTCATACGCACCGGCCTCTCTTCTGTAGGTAGTTGGAACAAAGACATTTTATTTATTTATTTTGGATTAAAATGTGGCAGATAAATAAGGACATATATTTGCAAGGCCCGGTCAATAGTTCAAGTCACACACTTCTATAATTCATTTTATCCTTGGAAAGTTTGCTTCAATTATGAGTGTAAAAACAATAATACATTTTTGTAGAGTTGGAGAGAACTAGTTGTAGGGCTTACTTGACGTCTCGAGGCATTTTCCGGTCAAATTATGATGAGTTAGACATCGTGCAAGGTACCATTCTCTTCATCTCTTTGAGAACTACAACTTTTGTTTTTGAATCACTCGATTTTGTTGAGTTTTGAAAAAATTATGGCCGTTTAAAGTTGGTGTAGATTTCCGGCCGAATTCCGGCCTTCTTCTTCCTTGGGTCTGGCGACCCATCAAGAATAAGGACATATATTTGCAAGGCCCGGTCAATAGTTCAAGTCACACACTTCTATAATTCATTTTATCATTGGAAAGTTTGCTTCAATTATGAGTGTAAAAACAATAATACATTTTTGTAGAGTTGGAGAGAACTAGTTGTAGGGCTTACTTGACGTCTCGAGGCATTTTCCGGTCAAATTATGATGAGTTAGACATCGTGCAAGGTTCCATTCTCTTCATCTCTTCGAGAACTACAACTTTTGTTTTTGAATCACTCGATTTTGTTGAGTTTTGACAAAATTATGGCCGTTTAAAGTTGGTGTAGATTTCCGGCCGAATTCCGGCCTTCTTCTTCCTTGGGTCTGGCGACCCATCAAGAATAGGGCTTTTGGACCTTTCCTGCCAAGCCCAACCCAAAACCCGTTTCAGTTTTTATTATTTATTTTATTAATTGTTTTAAGTTAAAGGCATTTGGGCCAAATTAGCTAAGGCCCTAAGCCTTTTTATCTAAAAACCCAAAACCCTTAGGCTTAAGGCCTTCGGGCTTTTTGAACCAAGGCCCTAAGCCCTCTCTTCTAAACCTAGCCCACCTAATTAGCTAAACCCTTAACCCTAACGATCCGAATAATCTATTTTGTAAGTCTCGATTTATAGATCATCCTTGAAAAAAATCAATTTAATCCGAAACCAATTGCTTAGTTAGTTGTCATGATGAAATTTCATTTTTTCTTATAGAACAAAGTGTTTGTCAATTTCTTTCAACTCATTTAGATTTCTCAAATATTGTTCCTGAGTTAAAAAAACTAGAGGTTCTTTTAGATAGGATTGTATTGGTCTCAACTCTCAAGTTCCCTTTTAACATCTTGGTTGAAGATGTAAACTTTTTAATTAGAATTTAATAAAGTCTTATCTTTTGGGGGAAAAAAATTAGATGTCTCAATTTTTTTCGATTTGGTTAATATTTTGCAAAGATGATTTATAAGATCCAACTTGAAAAATAAACGGTTCGAATCGTTGAAATTAGATGTAGTGTGGACTCCTGTTGACCCTAGAAACTACAAAGCCTACGTGGCGCGCATGCCGAGTAATCTAAAGGCTAACTACGTCTTTCGGTGATTGCGGGGCGTGCCAACTCGTCGGCCGAGATCGGCCGAGGAGTAAATTTTGTTGATGTTGCGTTGGGTGCGCGGCTGACTTCTGCGTCTTGCGATTGCGGCCGAGAAAGGAACACGTCTCGGCCTCTTGGGCTCTCGAACCTGAAGACAAGGTTACTATTCTTACGAAGTTCAATATCAAATTCGGCTTTCAATGTGCCGAATGTAATAACTGTAACACCTCACTTCGCCGAGAAGGCTAATGAGATGACCTCGACCAATAAGGATTTAGAAACCCTTCTCGACCGAGACTTGGATAGGTAATCAACCGCTCTCGCCGCAGTGTTGTTGATGCCAACGGAAGATACTGCGAGAACGACTAATTCTACGGTGACAGAGCTATCTATGCCGACTTAAGGTATCACCGGTTGCTTCCACAGTGCTGTTGATGCCAACGGAAGATGTGTCAGCGAAAAAGAAAAAGGAAAAAGATCTCAAGTTGTTGAGAGTTTGCGCAGGGCAATTTTGTATTGATTTGCAGGGGGCTTGAATAATGCGCAGTCTCTTCTATTTATAGCAACGGCCCCCCAAGGTCGAGTTAAAAACCTACTCGGACTAGGTCTTCTTCTCCTGATCAGTACCAACTCGACCAATCCTACTTTCACTAGGATTGTGAACCTAGTCCTTAACCGAGCCGGATTCGCTTTCTGAATTACTGATCCCGTCGAGACTCCCTATTGTACTAGGACTCGACTTGCGTTTTGATCAAACTAACCTAGGCTTGGAAGCCCACGAACTGAACGATCCATGGCCCTTTTGCCGTACGGCCTCTCGGGCCGAGAATGATCCTACCCTCGGCCCAAACTATTATTTTGGGCCCAAACATTGCCCCCTCGCTTCTGAGGTCCTCGGCCTGAATTCTTCAGCCGAGTTTCGGCCTTGAAGAAGCAAATCTGTCACTCAGAACCCTAATGCCCGAGTTCCAAGGCACATCTATTGATCATGATTGCACGATCTTGATCCTGCTAACCAAACTCGCCACGTGGCGTCCTCCAACACGGCCAATCCCTAATAATGACGTCTAAGGCGTGCGGTTGCCTGAACCGCCTTGCCATTATGACCTTATGGCTGAACTTAACCACTACCTCAATCCGCAAGCCACTACCTCAATCCGTGAGTCCACTTGTCATCGTGCAGGCGTCGAAACGTCTTTCGCCATCAATCTCGCCGTCACACGCGATCGTGCGCCCCCAAAACCTGAAACCTTCGGTCTTCTCAACTGCATTTCCCAAATACTCATCATGATCAGCGATTCCCTCAGTCGATTTTGCCCTTTGTTTTGAATTTCAAACGATTGCCCTTCCTGCCAAAATCCTATAAATACTGAAAACCCTCATTCATACTTTACGCTTCCAAAATTATTCTGAAATTTCTTGCCCTTATTCTCCAGCACATTTCTTTTTCCCAGGTCTTCGTCTTCAATTCCCCCAACCCAGAAAACTTTTTACGCCGTGCTTCCTTCCTACAATGGCGTCCTTCATCTCTAAGCTTTCCAGGGAATGTGAACAGCATCAGAAAATTCTTGATCGGAGCTCAATCAAAACCATACGGTTTGAAAGTGACATGAGCATTCCCCACCAAATCTTGGGTTCTCTTTTCAAGGCGGCAGTACCGTCGACCATTACTGGCCTTCTCCAGGAGCACTGCCGAACACCCTTGCTCCAAGGGTTTGAATGGTCGAGATGGGATGCGGCGAAACCCCAAGGCTCTTGGCCCTCGACGACCACGACCTGGGCAGCCTGGGTTGTTCGAATGGAACGGCTCTTTGGCGAGCAATGGAAAGCCCTCGGCATCTACGACGCCATCCTCCTCTCGTCAATGGATGTCGTTCCTGACAAGGAGCTTCTCCTAGCCGCCCTGTGCTTCTGGTGCTCGGTCACCAACACCATGGTTCTTCCCCTTGGTCCCATCGGTCCTACCATTCTCGATGTCACCGTCATTTTGGGGACTTTAGCAACTGGGATCCCTATCGACGCGGTACTCTCTGGGTACCCGTCGAATATTGACCTGAAGACGCTTTTTGACCGACGGGCTTTCGAGACGCTGAACCGTGAAGGTCACATCCCGTCGAAAGAAGACATTCAGAAGCTCCACAAGAACTTCTTCAATTACAACACCCTCTATCTCCATTTCGCCGGCCGAGGAGAAGAGGACTTACGAGAAGGGGAACATGAAGCGTTCCTCTTCTATTGGTACAACAAGTACATTTATTGTACCAAGTCAAACAAATGCTTGGTCGAGAACATGCCGGTAGCCGAGGCCCTGGCTAGTGGTCACGTCCTGGCACTGAGCTCCAACATTCTCGCCCATCTCTTCTGCTGCCTGGCCGAGGCGACCCTTCACAAAATCGACCCTCACCAGAATGGTCCCCTCTGGGTCTTCCAACTCTGGTTACAAGTTTACTTCGCCTCCCTTCGGCCGGCCATAGCCGACTTCTCACTAACGGAGGCGCTTGGACCTCAGCTGGCCTCCCGACCGACACCTCCTCACCAAGCCGAAGAGGTATTTAGGTACCTCTTCGCTCTTGATGACCTCTCCAACGACGAATTCCTGATATGTCGTCGTCGAGACTATCCCTCCTCCATCAGACTGCCTACATCCATGTGGGGCGCGGGGGAAGATGCCGACCTTCCTCAGTCCTGGGGGTCGTTTGTGCTCACTCGCGACCTTCCTCTCGGCTGCGATGGGAAACAAGCGGGTTGGGAAGTATATCATCCTAACCATGGTTTTAAATATCGATAATATCGGCGATATTTCGCCGATATTATCGTTTTTCAGAGGCTTCGATATTTTTTCACATATCCGTCTCATTATCGTCAAAATATCGCGATATTATCGATAATATCTTGATATTTTTGATATTATCGAAAAAGTCGTCGTGGATCCGTCGTCGGAAAGGCAGCCGAGGTTGCGTCGTCCCTCTAGCTGCCCAGATCTCTCTGCAATCCATGCTCAAACCTAAGATCTGCGCCTCAACGACGCTGATTCCCCCGCCGTTGTCGAAGTCGCGGCGAAAGATCCACAACTCCAGAACGGATCGAGCTCGCAGTTGTAGATCCACAACTCGTGGTCTGTCCCCATGGCGAAGCAGGCGT